GGTTTAAAAGTTTTTTTTTGTCTTTCCGTACTCGGCCTCCGAGTCAAGTACCCGATGCATCTACCTCTACTTAGTGAGGTACCGACCTACCTGCTACTCGAGTGTTTTACGCTACTCTAAAGTGTCGCGGGCTTCTTTTCCTGCCACTTGAGTGTTTTTCCAACCACGACCCTCAATGTCACGGTTACAAGTAACTACCGGTCTGCGGGCCTCCCAAGCAGCCAAGTACTTTTGCAGGCCACACAAACACATATTCAAACCGACAGGCGTGCGGACCGACACGCATACACAAGCACGAACTTCGAAATAGGCTCATGCCGCTAGTAGGGCTGAGCCGGAGCTCTATAGATACTAGAGCTGCTCCCTTACTTTTCGAAGTGGGAGCTAGCTCAGTAGGTATTGGTGCAAAGCTATCATGCGACAGACCCGGGGATCGAATCTGCCCAACCACCAAAGCTAGCTCCCTTTTACGAGGTGCTTCCCTCGATAGGATGAACAAATAAATAAACAAATAGATAAATAAATAAATAAATAGAAAACGAATGAATATATCCCTACAACGTGGGGGTATACACTACCACATTTGTGTGTGTATATATGTAGGTGTGCGCGTGTGTGAGAGAGAGAGGGAGACGATAAGTCTCCGACCTTGGCCAACAGCCAAGTCTGCCGCCCCACGGCTCGCTGCGGGCCACTTGGATCGATAGAACAAGCAAGTCAAAGAGTAACAATGTATATTTCCCCGTTTCAAGATTCATTCCGACTTTGCTCGCCCCAATCGATGGGATGTGTGTGTGTGAGACGTACATGATTCGACCAGAGAGAGAGAGAGAGAGAGAGAGAGAGAGAGAGAGAGAGAGAGAGAGAGAGAGAGAGAGAGGGAGAGAGAGTTTTTTTCTTCTTCCTCTTCTAAGTCCAGCATCTCCCTTTCTCCCTCTCAACACTTGACTTCACTGCATCTGCAGACTACGAGAGGGGAAGGACAGAGCTTGGTAACTTCGGACCGAGACYAGGCTTTTTGGGCTTCAGATATAACGGCGAGGGATTACTTGGGATAGGTGGCAAAGATTCAGTGTTGAAGACATTCACGACTCTCCCCTCTCTTCGTCTGATCCCCTCCTCTTCGTCTGTGCATGATYGGACCTGGCGCTTCTTCTCGTGAATAGCGCCGGGCTCTTTCACRCCTAGTGATGGAAACGACGTATGACGTTGGTCGGGATCGCTATTAGTATTYTAGTATTCTGCTTCGCTACTTTGTACTACGAGAGTGAGGGCAGTCCCGGTCAGGTCAGCCTTCGTATCTAAGTCTTCCCTGCGCTATTCATCACCTTTATGGATGAAAGAGAATGCACATTGCTTGTCGAGATTCTAGTCGCACCACGTGTCCATTCAGTCCTTCCGTCGTATTGGAGGTCCTCGGTCATTAAGTACATTACGTATCTGTGCATGAAACAGAAGGAAGCGAAGAGAAAGAAGGGGAGGAGAGATCGAGAAGGAGATGAGAAAGAGGTTAAAGGAGAGAGCCTATACGTCCCAGCACCACGACCCGCCGCACTCTACTTGGATCGAAAGAACGAGCAGATCAAAAGTGTCAGTGTATATTTCCCCGTATTGGCAAAAGATTCATACCGATTTGCTCGTCCTGTCGATGAAATGTGTGTGTGTGAGACGCTCATGACTCGACCAGAGAGGGAGAGAGAAAGTTCAACGGAAGGGGGATATGAGAGAGAGAAGTTGAGGAATAGAAGGAAAATGGGGAAGTCGAAGAGAGAAGAGGAGAAGAGAAAGATCGAAGGGAAATGAAAAAGGGGATAGGAGAGAGAGAGAGAGAGAGAGAGAGAGAGAGAGAGAGAGAGAGAGAGAGAGAGAAAGAGAGATGAAGAGGGAAAGAGTTCTTCTTCTTCCTCTCCTAAGTCCACCCTCGGCTCCTCACCCTCTCGCTACCTTCCTTCTCAGTATCTGCTGGCTAAGAGAGAGAAGGAGAGAGAGAGAGAAAGAGAAAGAGAGTTCTTCTTCTTCCTCCTCTCAGTCCACCATCTCTTTCTCCCCCTCCTAACATCTGACAAGCAACGAAGGGGGAGGGGCAGAGCTTGGTGACATCGGATCCAGACTCGGCTTTGGGACTTCAAACATTACAGCGAACGATTATTTGGGATCGGTGACAAGGACTTGGTGATTGACGACATTCTCGTTTCTCCCCTCCAATCGTCTGATCCGTTCCTCTTCGTCTGTGTATGTCTGGACCTGGCGTTTCTTCCCAAACAGCGCCAGGCTCCATCACTATTGGTGGTAGAAACAATGCATGTTTGGTCTACATTAATACGTTGATTGAGCTCARCATTGGTRTTCTAGCATTCTGTTGCGCTGACGTGCACTACAGAGGTCAGTCCAGGATAGATCAGACTTCATATMTAAGTCTTCAYTGCACTGATCAGCGCCACTATGTATGTATGAAAATGCGTATCGCTTGCCAAGATCCTATTCGCACCGCATTGTCCATTCAGCCTTTTCATCACATCGAAGATCCTCGGTTATTGCGTACGACATGTGTCTGTACATATCAAATAAGGATGATAAGAAGAAAAAGGTCCTTTCTTTGGCTGTTGTAACAGGTATACCAGGATGGCTCCTTTGATGTGGTTCGTTGATCGGAGCTTCATGATCAACCTGCCAGAGCCAAGGGAAGGAGTAGTCAAAATGACACTAAAAAAAATGACAATAGATTTGGATGAGGAAATGGAGTCATGGTGCGGGATACCGATAGGACAGGAAGCCTTCCTTTGGATAGAAACTGGGTGGACCACAAGGAAAAGGTTGGCAATAGTGAAAGTGACCCTTTATCTACCAGCCCTTCTCTGGAGGGCACACTCGATCGATCTTGCGATAGGAGAAAGCCGCCCCGTCTCTAGATACATGTTGATAGCCGGAATAGCCCTTGACGCATTTTCAAGGAGAATGTATTGAGAAGAAGAAGGAAGAGTTATAAAATCAATCGAAGCAAAGTGGGTCGCTGAGTTCGTATATCCTACAACGTGTATTAAAACCACGCTTTCGAGCTTCATAATTGATGAAGCATTTTAGGGGATTGAGAATGTAGAACGGGCAGTACTCGCAGCCCGATCTGTTCCAGAGATGGGCTTCGAATTCGAGGCAGCGAAAGTTGTTTACCGCCTATACTTGGAGATGAGACCAAAACTAAAGAATAGGGATTTTTATAACGTTCTATGCGTGGTAAACACATATCTACGCATCTACCATTTGGAAGATCTCTCGACCTACTGGCGCAATCTTTGTCGGGAGGCATGTATCAAAGAATTTATCGATGAGATCTCTTTTTTATTTGGTAAGGTTAGAAGTTTTTGGCATGGGGACAGGGTGCTCCTAGAGGACATACTCGGATGAGAGAAAAGAGGTATGAAAAGTCATATAGCGTAAAGAGTTACGTCAAGATAGTGACAAAAAGGGTGGATCAATGGTCGTTTTGTATGTCTTAACAGGGTCGACTGTCTAGCAGGAACCAAGAAAAAAAAAAAAAAAAAAGGAATGGGCGAAGCCAGCGCCAATGGAGATCCGCCAATCACCGCGGCGGTAATCGCCAAGTTACTAGAGAAAAGGACGATAAAGAGGTCTAACCTACCAAGGATAGACATCTTCCCATTCAAAGGGGATAGGGTGACGCATTGGTTGGAGCTACTCGAGCAGATATTCAATCAACTGACCCCAGCCGAGAAATTTGCCCAATTGTTCGAATATGTATGGTGGGAATGCACCTCTGACGTGGAAGAGGTAGTGAAAAAGTCCAACAATGATTGGGCTGAGTTTAAGAGGGGCATGTAGAAGACATTTAAGCTAGGAGATGGCCTGCTCACAATTGACCATCTCTATAACATGAACAGAGATGACTTCACCACGATCAGATCATTCGCCAATACATTCGAAAAGACAACCGATAGGGTTCCGGGGCTGTCTGAAGAGATGCAGTGCGTCATTTTCCTAGGGAAATTCTCTGGGTATGAGGCAATGAAACTAACTCGAGGAGGAGCCGCTGGGAGAAAGACAATTTGGGATACCATCAAAAGAAACATCACGGCAGGAGACATGGACCAAGTGTTCCATCACCAAATCAAGGTTGAACGAAAGAAGAGAAAGGCAGTAGGGACGCTCCAAGGAACGGATAGTATACTTGGAGGAATGTTGAGCAATATGGCAAATGAGATAAAAGAGCTTAGGGAAAGAGTGGCCCCGTCGAAAGTGTTAACAGTGACACAACCGTCAGGAAAGAGGAGGAAGGAAGAGAAAGATGGAGAGGAAGAGGCTGAAGAAGGGAAACCCGAAGGAATGGGCAAACTGACCAAGAGTCAGAGGAAAGCTAAAAATATCGTTATCGGAGGACAAGGCTCAGGAAAAGGACAAGTTACTCAACAGGCGATAGTCCAGTATGGACATGAGCCATCAACGAGCACAACGCAATATGGTCAATGACCCGTAGATCCGCCTATGGGAGCATGGCCTGGATACTTCCCGGTAGGGCCATGGCCTACACAGGGTCCGTATCCCATGTTACCCAGAATCAGAATTTGGGAGGAGAACAAAACACGAGACAACTCCAACTAACGGGGCAGAACCAAAGGGGATCAAGTCGCCAGAGTGGCCAAAACCAGAACAGGTCCCAAGGACAAGGACAGGGGCATGGACAAGGACGTGGAGGAGGTAGGAATGGTGGTTGAAATCAGGGATCAAGGGAACGAGGAGCAAGTAACAGAGGAGGTGGAAACCAAGGTAGGAATTGGGGACAGCCCCAAGGGGGTGCAAATCCAGTTGGACAGGAATACCCGCAAGGGTATGGTCATGGATATGACCAAAGCTGTGGAAGGGGGTATGGTAGAGGAAGCGGGCATGGACAAGGATATGGCAGGGGGTGGATTGATTACAGTGAATGTATCTGTACCCACTGCGCGATTAAAGGGCACACGGTTAAACGATGTCATGTTAGGAAGCTTGACGAGCGGGAAGGGCTCATAACATCAAACATGGAGGGCGAGGTGTTTGACAAAAATGGTAGGGTGATAGATCCTGAGATTCCAGGGGGCACAAGGGACGAGGCTCTTCGTGTGGCCGCACTTGGTCCCAACGCACTAGGAATGTTCCAAATTTGGCAGGAAATGGAAGAACCTGTAGTGCCAGTGGAAGATATAACTAACTTAGAAGAGAAAATGAATAGGATGGGGATTGGAGAAGACAAGGGAGACGTGCCGCTGGTGGAAGAAGAAACAGAGGAGGAAGACGTTATGGCTAACGTCAGAGACACGTTCGATAGGATGGAAGACTTGGTAGACAAAATGCAGAGGCTACATCTGAGGCTTCAAGGGATATGTAAAGAAGCAGGAAAGGAAGGAGTTGGATGCCCAAAGGTAGTTACCATGGGGCGTAGGGGAACGGGAATTGGGCCCAATGAACCCAACCCGAGAATGTTGAGAGCCAATATGGCCGCAAGGAACAGTGGAAGTCAGAGAAGTATGAGAGGAACGATTTCATTCGCTACAAGAAGACCCGCAGGAGGGAATCCTCAAAAGGAACAAGCCCAGGCTTCCCAGCCAGCAGGAGAAGAACCACCTATCACAGTAGAGGGTGATGAGGATGAGGATGAGAAGATTAGGGAGGAAGAAGAAAGGCAGGCGGAGATAAGGGCTAAGAGAAGGAAAGGAGAAGCTAAGGAAGGAAGATCAAAAGGGGATACGAGACCAAGCAAGAAGAGAAAGTACCAAACCTCGATCGAACAAGGGGTGGATCTGGAAGGCCTGGTGAATAAACTGCTGGAGGGGCACAATGAACAATTAAACCTGAAAGAAATCCTCGCTTCAGCTCCTAAGTTAAGAGAGATGGTGAAGGCTAGGTTATCACGCCGGAGAGTAGCCTCGGTCCGGATGGGGGATGTGATTCCCAAAGAGGCAAACTGGAGCGTGGCAGGGAGCAAAATGGACTGGAAATTCGTAGGCACAGGGTCCATTGATGTTATGATAAAGGGAAAGATGTGTCCTAGGATGGTTGATACCGAGGCAGAAATGAATATTGTAAATGGAGAAACCGCGGTAAAATTAGGGTTAGAGGTGGATGAGAATGATTGCGGGTTCCTCAACGGAGTCAGTGGCAAGACCGGATACACCGGTGTCGCATCAAATGTGATCATAGAAATAGGAAGAGTCAAGGTACATATGTGCTTCTACGTCATGCCCAGCTTGGACCTTCCAATATTGTTGGGAAGGTCATTCTTGTGCAGATATGAATCACTTATTATGAACAAGCATGACGGCACTATGTTCGTCATCTTGTGCGATCCTGCCTGTGGGAACTTCGAGGTTATCACCTGTAGGAACACAGGCCCGCACAACACGAAGAACAGGCTCAATGTAGGATCTTACACCTTCGAGGAATCTGAGAATAGAAGGAGAGAATTGCAATGGGAAGAAGAAGAAGAGGAGTCAGATGATGAAGAAGCCAAAGGACTTGTATTAAGTCTAACAAATATCAATGACGCAGTGGAACTGGTATCGGCTTATAGGATGGCTGATCCGGACGCAGTCAGGGCACTCGCAGAAAGAATCCAGGACGATCCGAAAGGAGGAAGGGTCGATCTCGTTTACCGGCCACCTCCTTCTACTCCGATGATAGTGCCGCATGCGCCGAATGCTCAAGCTGCCGGTCAATATTTTTTAGGGGTGGCCTCAAGCAGGGCTCCAGAAGAAGGTACAAGACGATAGATAAGAAGAGTCACCCTGTGCCAGTTCTCGTGAGTCAAGAAGAAGGGGTGTATTATGATCAGGAAAGAGAACTGATACAGCGAATGAGGGAAGACATCCAGAACGGGCCTTGTCGTATCGACGATGAGACTGAGAAAGAACTGATAATAGGGGAACCTGGCTTTCTGACAATGCAAGAGGAGGACTTGGTAAAAGAACTGATACGTGAAAAACATGGGGCATATGCCTTCAGCGATGATCAACATGGAAGGCTACATGTGGACAAGATAGAAATGATCCGCATTCATACGGTACCCCATGAGCCATGGAACATCCGAGGAGCTAAGTATCCCAACCCTGAGGATCGCAAAAGGGTGGTAGAGTACCTAAATGGGAAGATCCGCACGGATGTGGCAGGGTACTCCAGTGGACCATATGCCTCTCCATGGTTTTGTTTTGTAAAACCAAATGGAGTTCTCAGATGGGTGCAAGACCTCCAACGACTGAACTCGGTAACTGTAAGAGATGCAAGGGTTCTGCCCAATGCTGACCAGTTATCAGAAGCTTGTGCGGGTAGGTGGATTGTGTCCCTCATCGACCTCTACTCTGGATATGATCAGTTTCCAGTCTATCCGGCAGACTGTCCTATCACGGCGATGCACACGCCAAGGGGATTAGTCCATATGAATGTTGCGCCGCAAGGATGGACCAATGTTGTGGCCATGGTGCAATGAAGCATGATCAGGGTAATAAAGCCAATCAGCCCTTAGATCACCGAGCCATACATAGACGATCTTGCTGTCAAGGGCCCAATAGAGAAGGATGAGTCTGAAGCGGCTCCAGGGGTGAAAACGTTTGTGTGGGAACATGTTCAAGGGTTAAGAGAAGTCTTATCTCTATTAGAAGAGTGCAACCTCACCGCCAGTGGTGTGAAGTCAAGACACTGCGTGAAAGAGGTAACCATTCTGGGATACATTTGCAACGAACATGGTCGGCGCCCTGATAAGAAGAAGACCAATAAAATCCTGGAATGACCCACTCCTTTCAGAAATGTGGGTGAAGTCCGAAGTTTCATTGGTACCTGTGGGTTATGGAGAAGGTTCATAGCGAGGTTTGCTAGCAAAACAGAGCATCTAAGGAAGCTAGTCCGGAAGGATCAAGAATGGGAATGGGGAAGCCATCAAGAGGAAGTGGTGGAAGAATTGAAGAAGGGGTTTAGAGAGGGAGGTCTGGTACTAGGGGTACCAGACTTTGATGCAACTATGGAAAGACCCTTCATAGTTGAAACTGGCGTTATACCAACCGTCCTGGGAGGCGTCTTGATTCAGACAAACAGTGAAGGAAAGGAGAGGCCACTGAGGTTTGAAAGCAGGACACTGAACTCGGCAGAAAGGAACTACTCGCAGTTTAAAAAGGAAGCTTTGGCGGTCCTGCACTGCCTAAGGATCTTTAGGCACTAACTCTTTGGGAGGAGGTTTGTACTTAGGATCGATCCTACGGCACTTGTGTACTCACTCAAGAATTTCTCGCCCTCAGATCCGACCATAGCCAAATGGTTCACCTATATCTGGATGTTCGACTTCCAGTTAGAGCAGATCCCTGGAAACAAGAACAGGGCGGACGACATGAGCAGAATTGAGTGGGGAAATCAAGAAGAATCCAATGAAGAAACGCCTCCAGTAGACGGATTTTTGGACGAAGGGGAAGACATGCGAACTCACGTGAACTGYTGGTTCATGTTTGTCGAGAGTAAGGAAACGAGGAGAGAAAATCCGATGTGGCATCCGCCTCCCGAATTTATGAGAGAACCTTCCCTGATACTCACTCCATTAGAGGAGGAGGACTCTTGGGGAGAGAGAAATACAGAATGGATGATGGAATTGGCTCTGGCAGAGAACTATAGGATAATGGATGAGCCGCGAACGATCGAAGCGGGAGTCCAACAGGCAGACGAGCAGGTAGCCATGATGGGAAGAATGTACTACCTGACCAATTCGCCATTACAGGTTCAAGCGAATGATGAGAGAGGAATAGTGAAGGCTGATGAAATAATCATTGGTGATGATTATGAATTTGATAAAGAGAAGGAAGGAGAATTCGAGCAAGAGGAGATTTCGGAAGAATTCAGGGAGGAAGAGTACGATGGATTTTACCTGGAAATAGGGTTGCTCCTCTCTGAAGATAAAAGAGAGAGAGAAGTGAGTGAGAAGACTCTCAGGGTGAGAGACCACTATGTGGTAAGAGGTGGTCACTTGTTCATCAGGGACAAGAGAGGGCCGCCGCGACATGTCGTACGTGGGAGGAATCGTCAGATTGACGTGATAGTTGAATTGCACGATGGGATAGTCGGAGGACATCGGAGTTTCGCGGCTACTTACAAAAAGGCGATGGAGCTCTACTACTGGGAAGGGATGTTTGAGATGACGCGAAAATATTGTGAGCCGTGTGTACCCTGTCAAATTCGATCGCCTATCAGGTACAAGGAACCCCTGCATCCTAGATATATCAAGGAAGTAGGGGCGACTGTTCACCTGGATCTACTGGCTATGCCACTAGGTCTTGGAGGATATAACTATATATTCGACGCAAGGGACCACCTTACTGGATTTGTTGATGGCAGAGCGATCAGGAACAAGATCGGGGCAACGCTGGCTGATTGTATCAAAGAATATTACCTCTGATATCCTTTCGTATTGGAGTTTACAATGGACAGGGGGTCTGAGTTCACATGTGGGGAAGTGAAATAATTGTTGAAGGAATTGGGGGTGAATGGTAATTTTACGACTCGGACTCATCCACAGGCGAATGCGCCGGTTGAGAGAGGTCATAACACAATTACTAACTTACTGGCCAAATGGACCAGTGGGAAGCCGAATCTCTGGCCAAAGTTCATAAAAACAGTGTTCTTTGTAGAGAACATCACTGTAAAAAGGACGACCGGGTATGCACCTGCGACACTCTGGTATGGGCGTCATGCCACATTTCCTACTGAAAGTTTCCTTAAGACTTGGCGCAGGCAGGACCTGGAGAACAACTTAACTTTGGAGGAACTGCTAGATCTAAGGGCAAGGGAAATCAACGTTACTGAAGAAAGGGTGCAGGAAGCAGCCATGAACGTTGCAGACAACAGAGGAAAGGATAAGGAAAGGTGGGACAAGCTACCTAGAGTAAGACTCGAACCTCTACAAGTTGGCGAGACATTACTACTCTACGATTCCTCTCTGGAAATGCAGTGGTCGCGGAAATTGGACAAACGGTGGCTAGGACTATTCAAAGTCAAGAAACAGGGACTTCATGGGGCATATGAGCTGGAAGAGATGGATGAGACTCCAAGGAAGGACTGGGTCTCAAGATCTAGACTGAAGAAGTTCCAAGTCAGAGAAGAGGTAAGCCCAACTACGATACGAAAGCTTGGATAGATTGGGAAGGTATTTAGGCATGTGTCTGTGTATCAGTTCCTATGCGGGTATGTACCCAATTGCGCAAGATTATGCTCATACATATATGGCTACATACATACATATATATATATGTATGTATGTATGTGTACGTACATGGATGCAGAGGGGTAAGTGGGGATATGTGCGTATTTGTAAGTATCTGATAAAGGAGGGCATTGTCAACTTGTGTTAACAAGGAACGTTGCCTTGGTGATAATCTGACTCTCGTACCTGTCATTTGCTCCTTCTTTGTGTGCAAGCGTGACCCTTGGAAAGAAGAGGTCATGGCGCAGAGAGGAGAAGTGGCAGGGCCCTCTGGACCTGCCTTGAGAAAGGAAGGACAGAGGAGGGAACAGAGAATCTCAAGGAACCTGGAGGAGCTGCCAATTTACAGGGTTGGAGATAGTCTGCGAGATTTCCTGCGAGACCTTGAGGAGTACGCCTTCAGGAGAGAATGGGGTGACAGGGAGAAGATTGCGAATGTGAGTGGAGCAGGAATGTACAAGAGGAGAATTGAAGGAGTGGTAACAGGGTGCACAAGATGGAGGGTATGCAAGGTGAGACTATGGAGAGACATGGGGGAATTCCCAAGGGATGGTGTGGAGGATGATTTGAGGTATGATGGGACCAATCTGGAAGACTTTATTGAGAGCTTGCAGCTGACCGCTGAGAGGGGCGGATGGAGCGAGGAGGAAAAGAGGAAGCAGTTGATCGCAAGATCAGACAAAGGCGAAAAGGAGGAAATAAGGGGAATTGTGGAAGGGAGTCGGACCTGGAAAAGGATAACGGCAGAGTTGTGGATAGCCTACACCCAGACCAGGCAAGACCAGACGAGAAAGGAAAGGCTGCAAAAGAAGGGGCTATGGATTGGAAGAGAGGTGACTGAGCCACAGAGGAAGGAGGAAGAGAATGAATAAGAGGATAATGTACCTCTGAAGAAGTTGAAGAACAAGGCGAGGGTCTCCCCCAAAAGCAGCAGCAAGGAATCTAGGCAGGCTGAGGAAGATGAACAGGAAGAGGAGGAGGCTGCAGAGGAGAGGAAAACAAGCATAGGGGCCAGTATGGTACCAAGGAAGAAGAAACTTGGAAAGAAAAGAGTAATTGAGAGTGGAAGGAAAGAGGTACAAGAAAGGGTGAGTGAAAAAGGGGAAGGAGTAGAAGAAGATGAAGAGGGAAAGGAGGTCCGGGGAGGAAGCAAGACTCCCAAAGTCAAGAGAACTAAGGAAAAGAGGCCGATTGGGGACAAGGAAGAGACAAGTGGGATAGAAAAGAAGGAAGATGAGAAGGATGGCCAGGTGAAGAAGTTGATGAGAGATATGGAAGAAATGAGGAAGGAAGTGAGGGAATTGAAGAAAGAGAAGGAGAAATTGCAAAAAGAAATGAGTCAATTGAGGGTCACCCTGAATGTGCGGAGTAGAGAACTGGAAGAGGAAGTGGCCACAAGAGGTAAGATGGAAATAAGGGTGGATGGTCTGGTTTCTGAGGTCAGTGTGCTAGGGCAGGACTTGGACAATGAAATCTCAGAAAGAAAGAAGTTGGGACAAAAGTGGGAGAAAATATGAGAAGAGATATTGAGAGGAATGGAGGAATCCAGATTGAGCCAACAGGGAAAAGAGAAGAAAGTAACAGAGATGGTGGGAAGAAAAGGTGGTGAAGAGAAGGGGGCACAGACTGAGGAGAAGAAAGAAGAGTCTCCTGCACCAGAAAAGGAAGTAAGTGAGATTGTGGCTATGCCTCTGCAAGGAGAAGGTAAAAGGCAAAAGGAATCTCAGTTGGACTCACCAAAGGTGGCTGAAGATCAGGCTGAGACTTCAATCCAGCCAGACACAAAGAGAACCAAGCCTAGCATGGTTGGACAGAGATGTTTCTTCTGCGCTCAGGAAGGGCACCTCAGGGATGAGTGTTCCATTCTAGCAATTTATATAAAGGAAGGAAAAGCCAAATATGATAGTCATAAGAGATTGGTGGCCGGCACAGGGCAGACCATTCCCAGGATACCTGAGAGAGGCAGGGTAGCACTTCACAGGATACTGGGACTGCTAGTTGGTTTCTAGGTAGGAATAGGTAGATGTTTTGAGTAAACTATGACTTGAATTGGCTTAAAGGAGAGTTATGAGAGAGAGAAAAGTGTAAATTAGAGCAAGGGGATATGTGTTTTTTTTCTTCAATTAGACATGAGAAACACGAGTGAGACAAGTTGTGTGCTTTCTTCAGTCAGATGAGGGAACTTAGCATAGGAAGTAGTATAGGAAATGACATGAGAGGTATTTGAGGGATAGTAGAGTGGAGTGATGATCTGACTCTGTAACATACTTGTATTTATATATATCACTCAGGGGGATGAGCTGGTGGACACCACGCACTTGTCACATTGTGTGTGGGCCTTTGTCTTTGGTTGAGTCTCTGATAACCTAAGATCTCCCTTCGTCTATCACTACTAAAACTCCGTTGAGATCTAAAGAGGTGATAGAGGAATGGGCGGATTTGTATCTCATGTGAAAGTTTGATGAGTTTGTGAAGCTTCAAAAGCTGGATTGATTGTACATTTCTTGTTTGAAACCATGCTACGACATGGGTAGACTCCTTTGAGTCTTATCATTTCTGTTGCAGAAATTCTTTTTGAAAATCTCTATGAAAATGATATTTTTTATTTTTGTGGATTCTGACAAGCAAAGGGTCAATAAAAGTCTATTTTAAAAATAATGGTTATATATCGTCACAAACACAACTGCCCGGTAAATATATATAAATAATGGTTATATATATACAAAATGACCCCGAGGTGCGTGCCTCACCGAGCTATGATCAAAGACTTGGAGGGCACAACCCTGAGTGGCAGCTTGACGAATGTTCAATTATTAGAAATCTCATTTATTTGGTTTATTTAAAAAGCATCGTTCATCCACTTCAAGGGTTAACCTGAGGGCATAAATTACCAAGCCTATGGTGGAAAATTAGCATCGTTGGGACGTAACTCCCAGCGTGGGCTGCTGACCTAGCATAACCAGACAGCGGACCCTTCGACTATGGCCTAGAAAAGAAGCTAGAGGGATGGCCACCCCAATGAAAGGATCTATTCAGGTGCATGTCGAAGGGTTCGAGATTAGAAAATTTTTAAAGATAGGATGAATATTCCCTCGTTGCGCAACCGACGAGGGTAACCACCGATAAGCAACAACGCGGTGGGCCGCAGCTCCGGTCTGATCAGCAGGACTGTGGTGGGTCAGGATGGAGACCGTTGTCCTCCTGTATTAGGCTTCGGGCAGGACGACAGACAACTTTGGATTGTGATATCAAGAGTTGAACACCCAAGGTCTCGGTTAGGACCCGCGTTTGACGGGTTGAGTTCGTACGCGAACACCGGCCCTGAAAACAACCAACGAATACCTGGACCAAAGACTAAGGGTGTGGGGGAAGGAAAGGTGCGTTGTCATGCTTAACTATTTCATGTACTGTAGTACAGATCTAGTATATCCCCACTTTTAGTCATTATATTTTATGTGGGACACCCGGGTTAAAATCCCGGCAGTAATAATGAAAAGTAAGGTGACGGCGTCAATCCTGAAACCACATTTCATTCCAGGAATCGGATTTTGACGAATTGCTTGTCAAAAAACACCTTTATGTGCATATAGTTCTCCGAGCGACGGGGACGTCGCTTAATGAGGTCTGGGATACTGTCGAACAAAATAACCTTACAAGGGTATTTTGCCATGTCTTTGCATTCGGCACGGTGGTGGCGTCAGCCACCATGGCGTAGCCAGTCTGGAACGAGAAGGGGTGTGTACGCTTGTCGTGACACTGAAAGCAAAAATCCTCGGCCACTGAGGCCGGGGCAGAAATCGGTGAAAAAAAAAAAAAAATCGTTAAGTGTGKGCGTGTGTTACTATAACGCGCGCCGTGATGATTAGGTTCAGTAGTGATACGTCCCGACAAAAGAGGTCGAAGGGTTAGTTGGGTTAATACTGTGTCAGGGAGATCTACGACACGCACTGAGATTTGGTTTGACACCTGTCTGTCTATCGGTACCAGGGGTTTAAAAGTTTTTTTTCGTCTTTCCGTACTCGGCCTCCGAGTCAAGTACCCGATGCATCTACCTCTACTTAGTGAGGTACTGACCTACCTGCTACTCGAGTGTTTTATGCTACTCTAAAGTGTCGCGGGTTTCTTTTCCCGCCACTTGAGTGTTTTTCCAACCACGACCCTCGATGTCACGGTTACAAGTAAATACCGGTCTGCGGGCCTCCCAAGCAGCCAAGTACTCTTGCAGGCCACACAAACACATATTCAAACCGACAGGCGTGCGGACCGGCATGCATACACACGCACGAACTTCGAAATAGGTTCATGACGCTAGTAGGGCTGAGTCGAAGCTCTATAGATACTAGAGTTGCTCCCTTACTTTTCGAAGTGAGAGCTAGCTCAGTAGGTATTGGTGCAAAGCTATCATGTGACAGACCTGGGGATCGAATCTGCCCAACCACCAAAGCTAGCTCCCTTTTACGAGGAGCTTTATTTTAGTCTTCAATCGGTTGAGTTGGTCGGGGCTCAACCCGCGACCTGTAGATCCGAGTTAGGTAGATTCAGTGGATTACAGTTAGCCCCGTTTGAAAAACAGGGCATGCCACTTGGCAAGGCAAGGTGGTTAGTGGCTAGATTCTTTTGTTTTCTTTTATTTTCTTTTGTGTTTATTAGTTAGATTTCGTTTTTCATTTATTAATTTTCTTTCTTTCAAATTTCGTCCCGTGATCTTCTTGGTGGATTCGTTTTTACAAATCTACCGCAGGAACCAAGGCGGGTTCAGTTTGGTAATGAGGCAACGGACTGGCCAAGAGCAACCGGCAGCTTGGGACTACAGCGCCACGACGTCGATACTCGCGGAGCAGCGAAAGCCGGGGGCGCAACCTGGGCACTGTGGGAGAATAGGAGAAGAGCGAGAATCACACGGAGAGGTAGCGCGGGGGAGGAGCGCATGCAGACAAGCGTGATGGCAAGTAGAAGAAGGGGAAGGATAGAGAGAGAGTTGGAGAAGAAAGAGAAAGGAAGGGGGTTCAACGCGACGAGGAAGATTGTTGTAATTATCGATCTTGAACGACGAATGCCTAGTAAGCGCAGGTCATCGGCTCGCGTTGATCACGTCCCTGCCCTTTGTACACTCCGCCGTCGCTCCTACCGATTGAGTGGGCCGGTGAAGTGTCTGGATTGCGATGATCTCGGCAGTCTGCCGCCAAGGAGAAGTTCGTGAAGCTTTATTACGAAGAAGAAGAAGAAGAAGAAGAAGAAGAAGAAGAAGAAGAAGAAGAAGAAGAAGAAGAAGAAGAGGGAAAAGGAGGAGAGGAAGGAGAAGGAGGAGAGAAGGAGTAGAGAAAGCACTTACCTGGTCGTGCGAAGAGCACGACAACGACAACGGCTCCAACGGTGACGGCTCCGACGACAACGGTGACGACGACGGGGGAGCGGGAGAAAAGAGTGGGTAAGTCTCCTGCCTCGCGAGCGATCCTGGTGCTTCCCTCGATAGGATGAACAAATAAATAAATAAATAAATAAATAAATACATAGAAAACGAATGAATATATCCCTACACGTGGGGGTATACACTACCACATTTGTGTGTGTATATATGTAGGTGTGTGTGTGTGTGAGAGAGAGAGGGAGACGATAAGTCTCCGACCTTGACCAACAGCCAAGTCTCCCGTTCCACGGCTCGCTGTGCGCCACTTGGATCGATAGAACGAGCAAGTCAGAGGTAACAGTGTATATTTCCCCGTTTCAAGATTCATTCCGACTTTGCTCGTCCCAATCGATGGGATGTGTGTGTGTGAGACGTACATGATTCGACCAGAGAGAGAGAGAGGGGGAGAGAGAGAGAGAGAGAGAGAGAGAGAGAGAGAGAGAGAGAGAGAGAGAGAGAGAGAGAGAGAGAGAGAGAG